CTTGTGATGTATGGCGTAGGTACAGGGAAGCTTCTGCTTTCTCTTCACGGTGTTACTATTGCAGTTCGGGGGGAAGAAGCTTGCAGTGTTCATTCTGAGTTGCGCTTGGTGTTTTTTTAATGCTTTTTGCAAGAGTTTGATCTTTCCCACTCTCTGCCTTTCATTTTCCGCCTCTGTCTCCCTCGCTCCTCTTCCCTGTAAAACGCCTTGCTCTCGAGCGGTACCGGCTGTCAGACAGGCTGCGGGTGAGGCGAGGCGCCGTGCTGCGCAGTCAGCGTCGCCCCGTGCGCAGCGCGCCTGATGGTCCCTGACCTGGGGGGGTCTCACGCACGGGGAGTTCTGGCTCGGCGTCGCTTGTTTGCACAAAGGCAGAGGCTGGCAGCGCAGGGAAAGCCGCTTTGATTTTCCAGGCCACTCCCAGACGCCTGACAAAAGCAGGCTTGCCTTGAACTCGCTTCTTCGGAGCTCCTTGCGTTCCCAGGCAGGAGGTGCCGCACCAAGGAGACCGGGCTACTAAGATCATCAGGCCCGTGGCTGGAGCAGCGAGAAGCGATCAGGCCGTGCTCAGCCCCGCGGCACATCTGACATCTGGTTCATTAGAGCCCGTCAGCCTCGCCGAGCCCCCCTCCAGCAGCCCCCCAGGCAAAAGTGTATTCAGTTACGGACTACTTTGGCCAAGTGTCTTAACCCAGCCTCTTTGTTTTATTTTTAATTCCAGAAATTTAAGGAGTATTTGAATGGCAGTAACCTTATCACCAAGCTCCAGGCTAAACACGACTTGCTGAAGCAGACTCTTGGAGAAGGTGAGCCGTGGGGTTAGGTCCAGGGAGGAACCTCCCCTCACCTGAGATGATTCAAACCAGGCGCCGTCTTTCACTCTTGCACGCTGCTCGTGTTTTCCCGAGTGCCTGATGGCTTCTGTGGTTGGCTGCTATGACTGAGTTTAACCAGTGACGTGCAAAATCATTATTTCCCTAGAATATTGCTCTTTTCCCACCCTTCTCTGGGAGCGCTCAGAGAGATCGGTTTGACACTTACACTGCATGCCAAAGTGCTGTGCTCCTTTCCCAGCAGTGAAGAGGCTCCTGCCCGCTCCAACCCTCCGACCCTCTGCCTTTTTCCTTGCTCTCCCCGCTCTCAGTGCGGCCGTGACCACGCGTATGCTCTTATCCTTGGTGCCATGCTTCCATGTAATGGATTTGCCAGCAGCCTGGTGGATGTAATGGGCCCCTTGCCCCCCTGGCCATAGGTTTGTGACTTGCTCTAAACCAGAACTGCAAAATCATCCTTGTTTTTAAAATGAACTTTTCCATAAGAGGCTTTTATGAGTCCAGACAATCTCACAAGTTTGGTTCAGAGCGCGTACACACAAACAGCCTTTGTACAACAGAGGGAGCAGCCACGTCCGAGGGAGGAGGAGTGCGTGGCTCCGGGGGGGATCCGCTACTGCTGGGGTAGCGATGTGCTGCTGTGGCCCTGGGAGAGGATTTTAGCCCTTTTAAAGGGTTTTAAAAAAAAAAATTGCATTATTTTCAGTGTAAAGAAGGTGGAGGTGAGTTAGCGTCCTGATTTTCCAACGGGAGAGAATATATTTAAATTAAAATACACAACTGGTCCATGGTCATGTTTTAACAATACAAAAATTCTCACCTCGGAGTTGAAGACCAAACAAAACACAACACCTTTTTGTGGGTTGTTTTGCCAAACATATTTTCTCTGCCAAATTTCTTTAGCCTTAAAATCCACCTTCTGGTTCGATCCTGTGGTATGTTCCACCCAGTGAACGCTGAGCCAAGTCCAGGCACAAAATGTAAGCACGAGGAGAGCTGCAAGGGTAGATACCTAGGGCTCCACTGAGGAATTTCTTTTCCCAGGAGTTTCAATACCCCCTGTAGCTGCCTTAACCCCTTAGCACCCTGCGTGGCCGGTCGGTGACAGCCCTTCTGCTGCCTCCCGAGGCAGTCCTGCTCCGTGCCGGCCTGGTGGGGTTGTGCGAGGCTCGGTGGGTCACCGCGTGCTGCCGGGCAGCGCTCCCGCCTGCTTTGACATAGACCAGGGGGACAGAGCGTGTGGTTCACAGAAATGGGACCTATCTAAGCTCGTCCCAGAGATCACAGATCTTAGTGCAGAAGAGAGCTCAACTTACCAGATTCAGTGCCAAGACTCCTACGGATCAGTGCAGGAAGTGTGGAATCCGTTGAAGGTTCATTTGGTCGCCACCCTGGTCTCTCATGCAAGAGCCCTGCTAATGCCATACTGCGGGTGAGGAGTGCAGGGTCAGGCTTTTTAATTCTCTGGAGTTGTGCAAAAGCAGCCATGGAAGAGTTTTACATGAAAACTTTCTGAATTTCTCCCAGGCCATGGGCTCATCCTGCTGCGTAGGCGTTCAGCAAATATTTAGCCCAGAAATGCCAAATGCTGTGTTTCAGCATGAGCTGATTCTCATTAGGAAGGAGTCTGGGTTTGCAAAACACTCCTGTGGAATTCTTTTCTTTTTCAGTGCGGAATTGGCTGCAAGCTTGCTTTCCGCAGGTGCCGGGGGGGAGCAGGAAGGAGGCATGTGCAGCCAAATGCTTCCTTTTATCTGTCTTGGGAAAGGAAGAATAAATCAGCCTCCCTGGCCCTGGGAGAAAGGCGCAAACAGCATGTGAAATGAGTTGGGTTTTTTTTTACTTGCAATGGATTGACAAATACTTTAAAAAATGAACTGATCTTATCAACGGTGATAGGCTGCTGTTTATATGAAATCCAAGTACTAAAAATACACAAAGGGAATGGGAATATTGACGGCCAGAATGGAGTCTGCCTGGTGGTGGTTAGATGGGCTCTTATCTCCCAGGAAAAGCTGGGGAACTGAAAACTCCGCCACGTTCAGGTGCTGTTAGTGGTCCTCCACGAGGCAGTCGGATCATCCCAGCGGCCTCCCCAGGGGCTTCAGCCCCTATCGGCTGCCCCTTCCCTGCTTGGGTTTGGCCGATCCCCAGCTGGTGGGAATGAGCACTTAGAGGACCTGCAGTGCACCTCGTTACCCACGAGATGGGCTTCAGATTGCAAATAAGCCTTTAATGTCAGTGGGAGTTGAAGATGCTTTCCCTCTCTTGTGGCTGGGATTTCCAATATGTCTTTTAGTGGTGGGGGCTTGTATAGCAAAAAGCTTGGCCTCTCCCCAGCTGCAGGGCCCTCGGGCATGCTCAGCTTCTTTTGCCAGCAGCCACTAACAGGGGGCTCGCAGAGCCAGGAGTGAGTGCTGAGTGCCTGTGCAAATGTGTTTGAACGGTCGCTTGGCGGTGGCTGACGTGGAGAGATGATGGAACCTTGTGTTTCTTCGTAGGTGAAAGAGCCGAGTGCGGAACAACCAGGTGAGCAGTTTCTTCCACTTTGTCTGCTTTTGGGAAGGGCTGGCTCTGGCAGGAGGAGGGTGGCTGTGGGACGGGTGGTTTGCTTTGCTACCGATGCAGCTCGGCAGGGTTCACATTTCACCGTCTCGCAGCCGCCCGGGGCTGGCAGGCCGGAGGGCAGGCTGTCCCACGCTCCCCGCAGCGCCCTCCTGCTTCTCAGCTGCATTGCCTGACGCGCATTAATTGGGGTGATGACCAACAAGCCCTTGGTTTTGCTGCAGTGTAATTTCCAGCTGACTGCCTCTGGAGTGCCTGGAGGTGCTGTGCCAGCACGGTGCAGTGCCGCGCCTGGTGGCGTAGCCGAGGTTGGGTTGTGTTCCAACAGCGAGACACAAGGGTGTCCACCCGCTCCCTACCATCCCTGTTCACTCGAGGGCTTTGATACGTCCCCAGAAGCCTCTCCCAGCTCTGGCTCCTGTGCCCTGGAGAGCAGAGTGTGCCTGTATGCTGTGTGCGCAGGCTTCCGTCCCTCTGAGCAGGAGACCGTGCTAGGGCGAGTGTGACAGGGAGGAGGCTTTGATCTGTGTCCAGTCCCTAAAGCAGCTCCACAGAGCTCTGCTGGCTTGCTGGGGGCATGCTGGTTGTCTAACTGCACAACATGGGCCAGCAAAGCCTCCAAACATCGCCCCAGAACACGTACAACCTCTCCCTGTGTTATCTTTCTACAACCCTGTTTCAGCGTTTAATAAAATTTGCGATATCAGAAGAAACCCCTCCCCTTCCACGTCAGACATGCTGAAGCAGATGGTGAAGCCCGGGCTGCCTTCCCGGCAGGAGAGGCTGCCGTACGGAGGGCAGCAGGGTTTCGCTCGCCT